CACCCCCACCCTCCCCCAGCCCCGTCCAACCGTCTCCTTTCTGTCATATATCTAAATACAAATCTTCATTTTCTAACTGACAGCTTATTACCTCTGAGCACACATGCTGATAAATTTAATTCCGACGAGTTAGCTTCCATTTTGGGGTTTCCCATTTATCCGCTAATGTGCTAGCAGACATGCTGGAGGACAAAAAAGAAAAAAAGTCCTACACGCTTGTCCTGTAAATTTATGACATTTCGTATGCCATCACATTCTTTTTCAAAATCATTTATGGTTTTTTTCAGGTGTTAAAAATTTGACTTTAGTCCCCAAATTTTGTGTGTTTTTTGAACTGGACTGTCATATTTTCATGAGTTTTTTTTTTTGAATACAGTAATCCCTCGCTATAACACGGTTCATCTTTCACGGCTTCGCTGTTTCACGGATTTATTTATTTTTTGCATTTTTTTGCTTTGCATTGTGTTCTGCATCCTGATTGGCTAAGGAACTGCAGACTAATATTAACAGTCTACGCGCCACAGTGCTCTACAGCTTGCCAAATTTTCTAAAAACTGTCTGTTGTGTGGAAGAAATATTTCGATTTTTTTTTTTTTTTATGCTCGGGTTTGAAAAAAGGTTTAATCTTTGATTTCAGTCTCTACAGTATTGGACTGCACACGTAATAATTGTCGAAAATAAAGATGACAACTTACTTTCCCTTACGATGGGTTCTTTTTGGATAAAAAACTGATTACTGTATTCGTATTTTTTTTTCTTTATTCCGATTTGTTTGACAAATGTGAAACTGTATTCTCATATCAGGGCTTTTTCTTATATAATACAGCTCTTTTGCAAAAAAAAATAAAAATAATAACAATAATAGCACTATTCGTATAGTATGATTTTTGAATTTCTTTTAATATTGTGACTTTTTTGTTTAAAAACAAAATCAAATGTTATTCTTGTAGGATTGTGACTTTATTGTAATATAGTTTACTGTCATTTTTCTATTTATTTGTCATTTTTTTATGATTGTAATTATTACATTTTGAGATTTTTTTGCTCAAATAAGACATTTTTCTCATTTTTTTCTTTCTTATCTCTCCACGTTTGAACTTTCAATGTTGCTTTGTGTTGCCTTTTTAAGATGGCGTCGTGGTTTTCTATGAATGCACGTTTGTTTGTTTGTTTTTTTTCCCCATCCACCGAAATCCGAACAGATGCACGCAGGACAACAAAAAAAGCCTCCACAGTACATATTTTTATTCTGAATAAAAAAAGTGTATAATAAACTTTCAAATGATCTTTCGGTAATCATTTGCATTGTGTTTTTCCTTGCAGGACGGCGTGCGTGCGGCAGCCCGGGCTGCATTTTCTCAAGAAGTAAGTAAACTATTATTATTAGCTGTGATGTTGCTCCCTCACAGTAGCCGTTAACAATGTGGCTAACGAGTCCCCATTAAAGGATGAAAGTGTTCTCAACAGGTACGAGAGGACACTGCTGCTTGGGAGCCGTGAATGCTCACTCCTCTCTCAAGAAAGAAAAAGGAAAAGAGGCTCTCAGGAGGTAAAAGAACCAACCCCTCCACACCTCCTCTAAAAAAAAGAAAATGAAGAAAGGCTTGTGGCTTGTTTGGAAATGAAGAAACTTGGAGAAGTCATAGCAAATACTGTCGAAAAAAATCCAATTGTGTCGGGAAAAGGTTTCACACACCAACTGTCCACCTTTAATCAATATTTTTTTTTCTACTCTATTTTACTCTTTGGTGACGGTGTGGGTCAACCCGATTGATGTCAAACCCCAAATATCTAAATGTAATTGTAAAATTCAATTTGTGTTTTTCTCTAAGCATCCTGTTATGTTGGAAATCAAATTGACCTGTTTAAGAATGAAAAAAAAACAGCTTCTGTTTTTTTTTCTTTTTATTATATATACATTTTAAAATATTTTGGTGAGGGACTAAAAGACTATCAGAATTTTTTTTTTCTCTTCAATACAGGTCATGTTGACCCTTTTTTGTGTACCAAAGATAACGGAATAGTATTAACATAAAAACTTAATCATAAAATGCATCATAATTTGTGCATGGATCAAATTTTCCCTTTTAATGCCTAATTGTAGTTAAAAGCAAATGTAAGGCTAATTAGTGGTGCTGTGTGCAATTACAGCTTTTGTGAGCAGACTCTCTGCCGCCGCAGGGTTTTTTTTTTTTTTTTGCCCCCCCTTTTCTCTCTGTCTTGCAGCAGGACTTTTCCCCACTGAAAGGCTTCACGCTCGGATTAGCCGTGGCTCAATTGTGGAGAAAAAGTTCCTGCTAACTCGCGACATTTCTTTCACGCGTCTTCTCTTCTTCTGTTGTAATCCATGAAAACAAGATAATGCACAAAAACGTGCCTTTAGCACCAAAAATAAACAAACTCACCATTATAAAAATGCGAAATTCTGTTTTTTTAAAACTGGAAATAAATGGACAAAAGCAGCAGAATGTAAATAAAAACGATATGACAGTTTGTCAAATGAATTTATCTTTTTGTGCTTGTCTGCACAAGTTTTGCCAATGTTATCAGCAGTTTCTGCTCAAGAATAGCTTGAGGTATTTTGAGTGTAAATCCGTCCAAAGCTGCCAGACGCATATACGCACACACACACACACACACACACACACACACACGCATACGCATGTACGCAGCATATGCTAAATACAGATAAGAGTATTCCTAATAGATCTGCAAAAAAAAAAAAAAGTCTAGTCGCAGCGCAGCTCAATGGATGTGCTTTGAATGTAGTTGATAAGTTGGCTTAAGCTTGAATGCTGTAGCCCGATGCAACATTGTGCAACTGGGGCCCGCTCCATCACAAAACTCGCCTTCCAGTAAAGACCCCCTTTCTGGGGGGGCAGGAGAGGGGGGGATTAGAGAAAAGCCTTCCAGATCAGCTCATGTCTTACTATAATTTATGATTAGAAAGGGAGGAAAAAGCAGCGCGTCTGAAAATATATTTTTTTGCCTTTATTTATCTATTTTGTTCCGGTAGAAAAGCGAAAGTAGGGCCAGGGGGTGTTTGCTCACATTTTGTCCAGTTTTACTTTTTTTAAGCCTCTTAGTATTGGATAAATTCATAACACATCTAATTTTATCGCCATTTTTGAAGCTGATGAGGTGAAAACTTATTAGATTGATTGAATTATAGCTAGCTAGCTAGCAAGCTAGCTAGATATAGACAGACAGACAAACCCACTGGAATCATTGTATATATTTCTTTATTCGTCAAAATGTTTGTATTTAAAAAAAAAAGTAATTGACTTGACTTTTAGAGTACATTTATTTAAAAAAAAAGAAATCCTTTTTTTTTCTTCTGTGCTTTATGAAAGTTTCCGGGGTGCTGTCGGTGAGTCAGGAGGGCATCTCTTGGCTGCCTCCTTAATAAGCTGCTTGTGCGGGCCTCTACTGTAATATATTGCAGCAATAAAGCAATTCCAAAGCCAGCCTGGCCTTTTGACCGGCGCTGAGAGTGTGGAAAGCAGCAGGCCCACCTCTGCTAACTAGGCTGCCTCTCTAATATGAGATACCTGTCCCTGGCTTTTCACAAGGTGGGGGAAGGGTAGAGCAGGGAGGGGGGTGAGGCTTAGCGCTTGATATTTTCATTTGGTCCCCGCAAGATGCCACCGTGCCGCTTTAATCTCGTGTTTGACGTCGGAGCGCTCTGTTCATGAAAAGTCAGACTCAACTTTGACCCGAGGGGAGGTGCCGTCATAGAAAAATGACAGTGGTGGGTGGGAGAGAGATTGGCCTGCCAAAGTCTTTCCCGTGGCCTTCTTAATCAGGTGGGACCCTTCCCTCTTAACCACGGAGATGTACTCTCCCCATCCCAGCTGCGACTTTCATTCCAAGTGGGCTCAGATATCCGTAGATGAAGACACAGGGCGGACATCTTCAAAGGAGGCAGGAGATGCTGCTTAGTTTTTCAAATTGATTAATAAAAATGAAAAATTTGCAAAATGCCTCACTTTGCAGGACCCTACAAAAAAAAAACATTTTTTTTCTAAATATTGAAAATATATTTAAAAATATATTTATTATACTTATTAAAAAATATCTGATTTATTCTTAAGAGGCAGGGCAAGGCTGCGTGAGCATCTGGCTGGGAGCTGTGGTCAACAACAGCTCCCGCGTGACTCTGCTCATTGTGTTTGCATTTTACGGTTGCCCCAGCGTTCAATAAATGGGTGAAAGGTGCATCGGTGACTGGAGCTGTCTTTCGCACATTTGAGTGATTACCAGGCTTGACACAGATTTGATCAGGGAAATTGGATCGGCAGATATTTAGCATTTTGTGCAAAATGGATGATCGGGTGCAGTGTTATAATGTGGCGATTGAGCAATGATGTCATTGCAAAGGAAGACATGAGGGCAAACACACAATCTCGTTCATTCCAAGGATCTTCTGTGAAGCCATCGTTAATAGTTTCTTAGCGCGGATTTTTTTCCCATTACTTGTAAATAATCTTTCGAGGGCTTTTTTGTTGTTGTTGGTTTTTTTTTTGGCGGGGCAAGTGTTTCCCCTGTCCCCCGTGTATTATACATGTATATTAATCAGCATTTTGGATGAATTTTTGGGGTTCACTGTTTTTTTTTTTTTTGCCTATACTGGACTTGGGCATCTTCTGATCGGATCTGTGATCGGTTCTCTTATTTATTTAAGGTTGTTTAGTGTCAGCAGAATTCAAGCAAATCTAGAATTGATCACGGGGACGAAAATGATCGTTTTCCACTGGCAACGCACTGACCTCAAGTCATTTTCCAGTGTAAATGTGCATGTGTTCACCGCTAATGACTTCCTCGCGATATCGCTGCTGCTGCTGCTGCTTCTTCTTCTTCTTGGTGTTTTCCAATGCGGTTGTTGTGACGCGCGGCACACAAACAAGCCACTTCCCCACCGCCCGCTGATTGACGGGCAGGATCAATTGCTCCCCATCGCATCCGTGTCAGTCTATTAGGGCGCCGGCCGCTCTAATGATAGGCTGCTCTCCAGCAGATTATAGAGCGGAGGCAACAAAGACTCGCCCGCTTGCCCGGCTATCATTGAGCAAAGCCTCATTTTCACTCACGGCGGCTAAACACACACGCACAGATTACAATGTGGAGGTTCATATGGAATCGTCTACTCGTCTTTAATGGGGAATGAATTATTAATATGGTCGCATTAGTGAGAGACGGTTATGTTTCCTCGCTTTTACAAGGAGGGAAATAATGATTTGATCCTCTTCTGGTTTTGCAAGCGTGCTCACTTGCAAAGACATTCTCAAAGTGTTATCGTTGTGTATTGATGATGGTAACATGCACAGTATACGTTTAAAAACACAGCAAAAAGTTTTTCCGTGTCGTGCATTTTATTTATTTTTTGGGGAGTGAAATAAGTCATTGACTCCCCGACAAATCAGCTAAAATTCTGTTTCCCAGAGATTGGCTGGTGCCCGTGTAACCAATTACTTCTCACAGTTGTTCTTGGAATCTCTGTAATGAGATAAAAGAGCTATCGGGGTCAATACCGTCGACCTGCACAAGGCTGGAATGGGTTCGAAAAACATCAGCACAAGCCTTGCTGAGAAGCGAACTATTACTACCGGCAATCATTTTCTTCAAAGTGGAGGACACACAAAATGACCATTTGCCCTCGGCGCGTGGTCCCAAGGTCTCCTGGGGTCAGGATGATCCTGAGAAAGAAAAGGGAGCAGCCTCCAAAGATATCTCGAACGGGAGTCTTTCAAGAAAGGCGCTTTGGCACGTCCTGCAAACCGTTGCCACAGTTGGTGATGAGATTGATTTGCAAAACTCTTGACGGAAACTGAAAGTCCACTTCAACTTTCTCGGCTATCGCTTGGAATTGGATCAATGTGCTTCTTGAGACACTTGGGGCCATCTCGATTGTTCTCGCTGAGGAAAGGTTTTCATCCAAGGTTTTCGGTGGCCCCTCAACATTTGCAGCGCTTTGCTGTTTGGGTCCCACTCGCATTTGTTCCGCCACCAAACGCAGCGGTTGAGGTGATGCCGTATTGCTCGACTTTGGGTTTCATTGGACCGCAGCACTTTTTTCCCCGAGCCTTCTTGGAGTTATTTAGATGTTCACTGTCAAACTTAAGGCATGCCTGTAAAAAGTTTCATGAGCAGGGAAAAACCGCCCGTTGTATAAATACAACCTGTGGGAGCCAAAAATTGGTTTGAGGTGCAGGGGGATCCAAGACTTATTTCACTCAAATGCGCAACTTGCGTGTTTTTCTGCATTTTTGACTGATGTCAATGACTGTTCGTTTCTTTGCAAGTGAGCAATCTTACAAATTCAGCAGGGGATCAAATAATTATTTCCGGTGTGTGTGTGTGCGTGCGTGCGTGCGTGCGTGCATGTGTGCGTGTGTGTGTGTGTGTGTGTGTGTGTGTGTCATGATAAAAGCCTTTCCCCTGTTGGCACATATTGGAAGTCATCAAAACAACAGGTGTTTCCTTAAAGAGCCCTCCCCACCCCCTGCCCCCCCCAACCACACACACACACACACACACACACACACACACACACACACTCCTCTCTGTGTAATTGTAGTTGTCAAGTGAACCCAACACGGGCCCGCTCGCTGCCAACATGACTGCGGTCCAAACCAAGAAGTGCCAATAACGTTTAACCGGTGTTCCTCCGTTTTTACACTCCATCAAAGTTGGATTGAATTCATTGAAAAAAAAAAAAAAAAAAAAAAACAATTCGACTTCCGGCAATCGGCGTTCCCTTCGCGTTGACCTGGCGCACGCCGCATTCAATTACCTGTGGTAAAAATTGGATTATGGGTGGGGGGGATGTGGCGCACATCAACTGAGTCCCTCGCCCTAAGTGGCGCTGTTGTGTCGCGTCGGAGTTGGAAAAAGATGACACGAGAACTCGAGGCGAGACAAAAAGACGAGGGGTTGGGGGGGGCAGCTAATGAGACTGGTTAGCGATTCAAATTTATGGAAATGTTATTAATTACAGGCACCTATCTCTCACGGCGGCCATTTGGCGCTAAAGGTAATTACGGGTGACAGTGACAGACACGGAACAAGCCAAGGCGATCAAAGAAAACAGAGGAAAGTTGCGCGGCAAAGCGGGCCCGGCCGCGGGCTAGCGAGCCTCATTAAAGTCCCACTGTGTTGATCACCAATTAACCTGCTTTGTTTTTGTGCTTTTGATGCCAAGCCGACACTCCCCTCAGCTCGCGGCCCCCAATGGAGGGGGAGGGGGGCGGGGGGGCCGTGAGTCGTAGGTGACCCGGTCCCGAGTGGTGCCCGATGGCGAGGCCAGAAGCGTTGATTGCTCCTTCTCGCAGGAAAGGAGTGACTGACAGCTTGGCGTTGGCCAGCCTCAGCGGGGAATAATTAAAGATGATATTTCGGTGAGCGTCATGTGCTGAGGAGATGGATTGACACAAACTGATTGTCTCATTTGCAGCCCTCTAGAATGAAATTAGAATATTTCAAAAGGGACGCTGATTGGATAAGAATCACGTTGGGCTAACACAAATATCTCAGGCGTAACATATTTCATAATGAATCTCACAATCTCGGTGAAATTTCCAAACTCGATATCTTTTAACAAAACTTTTTCCCCCCCCCCAACTCGCATAAATTATTGTTTAAACCAGGGGTGTCAAACTCATTTTCGTCGCGGGCCAATTTGGAGTTACACCTTCCCTCGGAGGGCCGTTATGACAGTGAAACCACAAAATTATCACTTGTACACAATAAATTAATAGATTACTAGTTTTGAAATAAAACAAGTTCGGTGCTTTCTACCATCTTTATTACTGATTTGTTTTACTGTTTGTTTTATATGTTAAATTGCTCCATGTACAGCACTTTGTATGCAGTGATGGCTGTTTGAAAGTGCTCTATAAATACAGTTGAGTTGAGAATTATAATAGTGTGTTCAATTATTGTCCAAGTGGGTATAAACAGGCTCACAAAATTATTGCAAAATGTCAACGTTATGTATCACACATGACAAGTTGATATTTCGGTCCAGATTTTAGCAAGTTGACACACATGATTTACTTTCGCGGGCCACATAAAAGGACCTGGCGGGCCGGATCTGGCCCCCGGGCCTTGAGTTTGACACCTGTGGTTTAAACCAACACCGTACAACTCTATATTTCAAACTTTTCTTTTATTACCCTTACAAATAATCAGCTGCAGATGATTTCAGTTAAATAAATAAATAAATGCACCGAAAGCAGTCATTGTACGTAGACCTGCGGCCAAGACTCTTCCGCTAATAACCCAGGCTAAACTTAACCCCTTGCCGACATTCAAATTTTGTTTCTCGGTCAAACGATATCACTTCAGCATACTTCCTTGAGACCAATAGATCTTCCGACAAGGATTTGGCACCATCTTTTGCATCTTCGGACATTCAAAATGAGCGCCACAAAAAAAAAAAAAAAAGCCAATCGGTGAGTTTTGCCAGTGAATAGGTTGCACCAAAAACAAAAACAAAAAAAGCTCACATTGAATAGACTGCCCGGAACGCGTTTGTTAGAAGTGTGTCGTGTGGCAGATGAGCAAGGCAGCAATGACTTGACTTCCGTCACTTGGTGACTTCGTCTGGGCAGGCGTCTCATTTGAACTTTTTCATTTTTTTGTGCATCTGGGGGACTCCCAGTTGCTCAACGTATGACGAGCACCGATGACATCATCACAGTTAGATCCTCATCGCGAGAGAAATTTGATCAAGCTAATTATTTTTGAGCAGCTCGCACGCGACAGCCTCGCTGGCAACAACTCCAGTTCTTTATCAAAGCAACAAAACAACATGCTCAAAATGGAACAACCGTCGCACTTTTGTTTGTCTCGCGTCACCCACGTCAATCATTTGCCTGCTGTGTTCATAAAACGGTCAAAATTGACTTCCCGACTGATGATGTCACAGAATGCCACTGCAAAGTTCAGGCGTTTTTTTTTCTTTCTTTCTTTCTTTCCCCACACCAATGACGATATGAAAGTGCTTTAATTGACTGGGGCTCAGAGAGGAAGATTAGCGCTTGGATGGAGATGAATAGGTGAGAAAATCTCCGGGCTGATTAGACGCCAACAAAATGGGTGGCCGCTCTCAACTTTTATTATGCTGCGATGGAGGTCATATTTAAAATGAGAGATTAGCCGCTCCTCACAATATTGGTGGATTATCAGCTACCTTGCTACCCTGGCTTCGGGTCGATAAGAGTTTGACTGCATTTCAAATTAATTTTCCTCAGCTTTACAGCCTCCTATCTTGTTATTGATCATGCCGTTAATCCATAACCAAGCTCATCCTTTCCCCTGCGGAACGAGCGGGTGGGGATGGGGAAGAAAAAAAAAAAAAAGGCTCAACGTGGGGAGGACCGACTAAGAACTCGAGTAGACGTACAAGTTCCTCCTTCAGTCCTCGCATTGATTTCCATGACAGCGGGAGCTCGTCACACCTCGGCTCCTTTATCTGTTTGTCTTCTCCAACAGAGGGACCTCCGCTGCGGGTGAAATGTAGCCCGTGACCCTCGACCCTCGGGGTCCGGCATTTGTCTCCAGTGCAGTGACCACAAACAACCCCTGGTTTTGCTGTAAATGTCAGCGCGGCGCCGTCTCCGCCCTCTCGCCTGTGAAGCACAATGCTGCGCTCAAGCTGCACTAATGGGACACTTTGATGGCAGCGCCATCATCACTTGTCCTGTTTGCTTGATAGCCGCGCATCCACTTGCTGTCTCTGGTGAGCTGTCTTTCTGTGCACCATGTCCTTGTGACACACAAAAATAAAACATACACATATATATATATATATATATATTTTTTTTTTTCTGGGGGGGGTGGTGGGGGGATAGCACAAATGTTCACAGGTCTAAAGTTGATGTCACCAGGTCAATTTAATTTAAAATCAATGTATATTAGAATTTATTTAATATACAATACTAAGTGTATTTTTTTTAAAAATATATCCCAAAAATATATACTGTTTTTTTTCCATTCTTTCCTCCTCTATTTGCTTCCAAACGTTTTTTTTTTTTAAATGAAAACATGTCGTGATTTTTAAACATTTTTAATTTTTTTTTTTTTTTTTTTTTTTTTGGGGTGGTAATCTGTTTACTTAATGACTTAAACCAGTTTAATGGAGGACAACCGGGTAAACGAAACAATAAATGAACGTCAAGGCACATTTGCACATTGTTCACTTGGGTTTTCTTTCGTTTACCCCTTTCATGTACTCGAGAACCAGATAAACTGTCCACTGTCGTAACCGCTGTCCCCGAAAGGGTTAAACCTCCAGAAAATAATGATAAAATGAAACACTATGTTTCATTTACTTGATGTTGGACTCCCGAAATATATATTTCAGTTATTTTAGCTGACGCAGTAACATTTGTCCTTGAAGAAACAATGATATCACTCATCATTGACCCCCCCTCCCCCCAAGATGATGAGAGGCTTAAACTATTAACACGGGTCAGTGTGACTGGCAACACAATTTGGATGATGAATAAATAGCAAATCTTTTTCAAGAGAAATGTGGACAGAAGGGGTGAGGAACTTCCGGCACGCGGGTCATATCTTGTCTCTAAGATGATTGCCCTGCAATGCAATTCTGAAAACAGACAAAACCACAGAGATAATGTTAGTTAAAAAAAAAAATTAAAAAAAGACTACAAGCCATTAACCCATATCAGCATGTTTTTTTGTAGCATCATAATAATAATTAGGACCCACAGAGGACCTTTGTTTTTTGGTTTTGATTTTTTTTTTTTTTTTTTTTTTTAAGTAAAATGGCCACTGGATAAAAAAGACACTTCTGCTGTAAATACTGCTGTTGAGGTGCAATTAGTTGGAAATTATACCCGCAAACAAAGAAATAAATAAACGGCCCAAACACACCTTTTGAAAAACTGGCAATGGCCACTGATGCAGAGCAAAAGGTTCCTCATCTCTGCAGTAAATGCAATTAGCGTGCAATTAGTCGCATCTGATATGAACGAAAAAGCACAATGGATGTCAAATTGCTACTAAATAAACCTTTAATTTTTTTTTTTTTTTTTTAATGCTTAACCCTTTCAGGGACAGCGATTACGACAGTGGACGGCCCATCATCTGATCAGGTTGCAGGTTATCATTATTGGTGCATGAAAGGGTGAAATGGCATCGGTTTGGGACCCTTCCATTCTGTTAAGTCAAAGATTTGAACTTTTTTTTTTTTTTTTTATAAACTGTCCGTGCTGGTCCGGTTGTCAGTTGTTGTGATTCATGGTGGGAAGACATTGTTTGCAATGCATCCAATTTTGAAGCACCGTCTCTCACACCCCCTTCCCCCACATCCCCACCCGGCCCTCTCTCCTACAAACACCCACACACACACACACACACACACACACACACACACACACACACACACACACACACACACACACACACACACACGTTCCGTCATCGGCGGGCCTCCCGAGGTCGACGTCTGTGCGTTGGGACTCCATTGTTGCCCACCGCTGGATAATGCCCTTATTAATTGTACCTCTTTGTAAGGTGTCAGCTGCAGCGTCCAATTGAGATGGATGGATCTCTGGAGTGCGCTCGCTCTTGCCGCACAGCCTGCAACAGCGAGCGGCCGCCGGGCCGCGGCGCAGCGCATCACCCAACCGCTCAGATAAATGCATTTGTTTTTGTTAGTCCATTGAAAAAAACATCATTTTATCCATTGATTGTTTTGCGCGCGTCCTGTAGTTAATTAGGTGCATTGAGGTCTCTGAGGTGATCAACAGCATTGACATCAAATCCTTTCCCTCTCATTAAAGGAAACAAAGTCATTCCAGTTCAGTGATGCACGTTCTTCCCGGCCGACGCTGGTTTTGAGCTGCACTCTGGATGGCTTGGTCCTCCTGGGAAACAAACGTTCAGGTCTGATGGGAAACACGCTCAAACTCGTTTTGTTGTTGTTGTTAGGTGAATGAATGCTTTTTGTTTATGCGATTGATGGTGTTTACCTGTTGGTGGTGAATCAAGTTGTATGATTTTGTTTTTGCGTTAATGTTATAGATTCACCTTCGTTTCAAACACTGAAATTTGGATTTAGATGGATTGGATCATTTTTAGGGAAAAAAACAAAAATCTACATTTCAGGTGCAGACTTCCAATGTCCATATTTGGTCAATGTCATATTTTTTTTCCACAAATGAATGCGACTGAGCAGTCCCCATGTGGGTCTGTTATTTTATTTTATTATACTTTTTTTCTTACTAATTCTAACCTAAAATGTTGAAATTGGCTTGAGAACTTCAACCATGCAAAGTTTGATTACTCCCCCCAATAGATGCTGTGTATTAATTTTGGGAGAAAAACACCAATGACACACTTAGACACTGATTATCAAATGTCTTTTCCTTTTTTTTTTCTTCTAACTCTTCAGGTTTTGGATATTTTCATTTGTTTGCTCTCTAAAGCTTGGAGAATACCGAATTTACCATGCCTTGTGATTTGTAGCTGTTGTGTCGAGAAAGAAATCCATCTTAATGCTTATTTCATAAATATTACCAAATACATTACTACCGGTACATTTATTATTATTATTATTATTGTCAGTCTCCTTCCCCTTTCCTCATGTACGCTCCTCATTGTATCACTTGAGGTGAGGTCACATACTCGATAAATTTGGAACAGTGTACAGTTGGCGCATTAAGCTGTGGGTCAAATTGACCCATTTGAAAATCAAAAGGGAAAAGAATATTTCAAGAAAAATATGATACTCATATTCAGTTTTCCTTTTTTTATTTTTGATCTCTAAATTAAAATGAGATTGCATTTATTATATGTTTTGATAATCAAGCAGACTGGGTTACTGTTATGTTTTGGGTCAGAATGACCCGCTTGAAAATCTTTTTTTCGTCTTCTTCTTAATGAGGTTATATTTATTCTGCTTACCTTATTTTTCTTTTTTTTCTTCTATTTTTAAACTGGACGAATGCTTCATTTTAGAAAGATTTTTTATTTTTTTTTTTGGAACCATTAAAAAATCGAATTGGCATTTTGTTTCATTGAATTTTTTAAAGATGAAACAGAACGGTTCACGTTGACCCCCGTGAACAGTGTTGTCAAGCAACAAACGAAACAAACATGAAATACAATCTGTGTGCTTCGAATGACCAAGTTTCCTGAACTGTCACATTATTTTCTTGAGCGAGCAAGCATTGACTGCACAGGCAGACAAGCGAAGCGAGAGAATGAGACCGAAAAAAAGAAATAAAAATAAAAATACTGAACATGAAATGATCCATGCCCCCTCAGATCGCATTGAAGAGAGGCTCTGCACATTTTGAAAGTGTCAATTGTTTTTTTTGTTTTTTTTAGTCTCTTCAAGTGTGGCTGGAATGTTTGAATTCCGGCATTAAAGTGCAGCGCCCGCTGAGTTAAATTACGGTCTCGCGGGGGCCCGCCGGGTGGGAGTAATCAATAAGAATACACGAGGGCGCCGTGTAGGGCGTCTGCTCTGAGCAGCGGGGACGCCGCCGCCCCTTAGCCTGTCCCCCCACCCCACGCCCTCCAGCAGGTTAGATAAATATGATCGTGAAACGGGGGGCACGCTGGATTATATGATATCAATGTGGAATCGGCCAAGTGCTATTACACTCTCCTGGCCCACTGTGAGTACTATTGACAAGGTTGGCTTTGAACGTTGCTCTCTTTACTCACCTCGGCCCGCCTTCCCTCCTCCCTCCCTTCCTTCCCCGTCGTGCAAGCACCACAGCGGGACTCGGGATCCACGGCTGGATTTGCACTGAATGTCCAAGGGCCCAATTCCCATTTTATTCCTCGATCCCATTTTTTTCCCCTCTGTCTACATTTGTGGCAGGTTTCCCCATATGGATGTGATCGCATATATAAGCTTCAACACCAGGCCCGGTCAACACGGATGTATGCAATTATCCATAAAAATCCAAATAGTTAAGGGTATGGAGCATTTTCTGTCAAGTTTGCGACACAGAAGCCATGCTGTGATCGTAACGTTTTTTTTTTGTTTTTTTTTTAATCAACCTACAGCGTTGGTTCAGTGGATTCCATCTGACACCGCAGTGCACTTCCTTGCCTGCCAATTAGCCGCCGTGCAGCTCGCCGCTTGCTCATACAGTAACCTCATAGCGCTGATGCACTCGCACTATTGATTGACTTTGGTGGCACTGGAGGGCACGGGGAGGTGAAACCTAAAAGGCCATTATCGGCATCCTCTTCGGATGGACCCGAGACGGCCTTTCTGGCAGGTCGCAACCTCCCCCTGGCCTTTGTGTAAGCAACCCCCTTCTCCGGCGTCATGATCACGCTTGCGTTAAACGACGCGCGGCTCAAGAAAGATGCTTCACGTTGATGTCTCACATGTGAATAATCTCGCCATCAAATGACATTCGACCGCGGGCGAGACTCCAGCTCGTCGCCAAATACGTCCATTGAAAAGCATCTCCGAGTCGCTGTTTTCTTCACGCAGAGACAACCAAACCTCGCAAACTTGGATGCAAATTCAAACCTGTTCTAGCCTATCACTAATTCACGAGATATTTATCATAAGGTTTACTTTCCACACACAAAAAGCGCCATTCTTCATTACAAAGGGACGATATCGCTGTCGTCAGGCGGAATCCTCCAAAATCACCACTTTTCAGGAATCCCCAAAAACGTCACATTTGGTCAACGTCGTCAGTGAGTGCAAGCCATTTTTTAGATTGGTCAATAATTTGTAAAAAAAAAAAAAAAAAATGACCCACACACGTGTGGACTGACCAGTGTAAGGAGTTGTGGAAAAAAAAATGTCATTAAAATATGACATGAAACAAATTGTGACATAGGCGGTGTCAGGCCAACGAGAGCGAAGAAACGTTTCCCTCACAGGCTTCAAAACTTACTAAAATCCAATCTTAAACACACACAAAAAAAACAAAAAAACAGAAAATGTGTGCATTGTATGGTCACATGCATGTGCCTTTAAGAGGCGGAGCCTGGAGGGTGGAGCTGCCATTTTTGGTCAGCGAGTCTGCATGAATGTTTCTCTGTGTTTTACTGTTTTCTTGGCGTTCAATAAACAGATGGAAATTGCATCATTGACTGCGGCTCTTCTTTCCCACATGCCAAGGCATTACCTAAGTATACTGTAAAAACCCATTTCAAACAAAAATGTTTCCTGAAAATAAATTTTGTGGGAACGACAATTATTTCTGGAACTAAAACCTTTCTACGCCATATATCCAAAAAAAAAAAAAAGTACGGCTCTAATTGCCTTCAGTTTTGATGACAGATCCATTAATTGACATAATAATATAAGCAAAACGCAGTCTCTTGAGTTGGAATTTAAATTGGATTGTTTTATGTGTTTTTGAAAGGCTCCAATAACGTGTGTCAAGTCGTTAAGGGCCTCAACATGCCCTAACAGGCATCAATTTCTGCTTGTGAAGTGCTTCCTGCTTGAAATGAATAGTATGAATTTTAGAGGTCCCCCAACACAAGTCCCACCCAAAATTCACTCAGTAGCGCCCCCTGGAAAGTTAAAAAAATTAAATAATCCATGACATGACTAGACTGCTCACAAGCATATACTGTATTCTCTCTGTTCCAAACTACAACTTTATTTAATTCATGGCGTTTAGTTGGGGATATTCTCGGCTTCTTCTTGCTCTGAATTAGGCGGCATCTCTTCTATTAGTGCTCAGTGCTGCCCAGCATGTTGTGGCACAATGTGGTATTGCACTGAAGGCGCGCAACCCGAAAATAAATCCAGACTGTAAAAGGAAATCAAAACTGGGGCAAAAGATAGGAAAAGTCTTGTGGAGATGATATTTTCATTCTGTGGATCAATCCAATCCAGAAATGATGTTTTTTTTTTTGTGGTGACGTGACTGTCACAAGCTCATTTGCATAAGGTCAGAGTCGAGCCTCCTGATTAAAGTTTGGCGCCTTGTCCCGTCTCTTAGCAACGCTACATTTCACCGTGCGCATTTCCAGCGCTCCTTGTGGGCACTTATCTCTTGCTCTCGTCTATAATGAAATGCCAACCGACTCGCCGAGGCGACGACGAGTGCGTGGATTTGCTGGCAATCAATACGGACACGTTGCCGCCTCTTCTACTCGCATGTTGTGCATGTGAAGAAGTGTGCCCAAAAGAGAGTGAAACCAACAGGTAATTGGAGACACCTGCCAAACAAGACGGGGGTTGAGAGGTGCAAAGGTGGCCAGCGATTAAAAAAAAAAAAAAAAAATGAGGTGGGGGGGGGCTTTTTGAAAAATAAAAGGATTTGATATTTTGAGGGAAGAAAAGACTGTAAGGTCACATTTAGGACAATCGTGACTGCCACAAAGACAAGATGAGCTCCAAGTGTTGTTGATGTTGTTGTTGGCAACTGGAGCAAAGTCATCACCCATCCCATAATTAACGCCCCCCACCACTACCTACCCATGATGAGGATGATGACTTGCATCATTTTGCTCTGAAAGCAAGGGTCAAAGGTGCAACTTGGATACATTTAGCACATTGTCCCCACATCAGCAGGTTCTCTTCTGCAACGCTCGTGTTTTGCTCGGCGATTCCCCCCCCCCCTCCATGTCTGTAGTATATATTTATATTTGTAAGGTTTTAATTTATTAAAAAAAAAACCATGCCACAGGGCTATTTACATGAAAGTGGACAAGGGGGTGAAAGGTGGCCCGAGGATAAAAAAAAAAAAAAAAAAATGAGGTGGGTGGGGGCTTTTTGAAGAATAAAAGGATTTGATATTTTGAGGGAAGAAAAGACTGTAAGGTCACATTTAGGACAATCGTGACTGCCACAAAGACAAGATGAGCTCCAAGTGTTGTTGATGTTGTTGTTGGCAACTGGAGCAAAGTCATCACCCATCCCATAATTAACGCCCCCCACCACTACCTACCCATGATGAGGATGATGACTTGCATCATTTTGCTCTGAAAGCAAGGGTCAAAGGTGCAACTTGGATACATTTAGCACATTGTCACCACATCAGCAGGTTCTCTTCTGCAACGCTCGTGTTTTGCTCGGCGATTCCCCCCCCCCTCCATGTCTGTAGTATATATTTATATTTGTAAGGTTTTAATTTATTAAAAAAAAAACCATGCCACAGGGCTATTTACATGAAAGTGGACATTGGAAAAGTATCACTTAGATCTAGTTAGCATAATCTAAAAAGTCTGATTATTACATCGTCTTAGAGCTTCATGAAGTTGCAGAGTTTATATCAAAATATAATATGTATCCAAATTTAGGTAAAAAAAAATTCTGCCTTTTTAGTTGACAACATGTCACACTGGTTGTTTCAATATTTCTTCATATTTTGTAACATTTGCAATATGTCTAGGCAACTCTTTTCCTTCTCTTGTGTGTGCGCGCGCACGTTTGCACGTGTGCGCG